CACTCTCAGCGGCAAGCGCGCTCACTGTCATCAATTTCAGCTCTGAGAGCAGAGGCAGAGGCACGATCCAATCATAGATGGGGCTCTCGCAGACACACTTTCCATCGCATCGTGTTCTGCGGCGGTTAGCTGCGCCACCCGTGTCAACGAGAGGTCGATGTCTCATCGATGGGGCCCCCGCAGACACACTTTCCATCAAATCGTGTTACGCGGCGGTTAGCTGCGCCCTCCGTGTCAGCGAAAAATCGATGTATCATAGACGGGGCTCCCTCAGACACACTCGCGGCGGACCGGACGGGAACGGAAGGGGCATGGGGGCGGATGCTCAGGTTCGGGAGTGTCTTGTCTCGACTCCCCCCCTCCCCACTCCCGACCCCGTCTCGTTCCCTGTCCCGCCCGCGCCTCCCTCCTCCCCCCGCCTCGGGGCCGCTCAGGATTCCTCGTCTCCAGCAGTAAGGGCCGTCCAACCCCCTGAGGCTGACAATGGCGGCCCAGGGGGGGCACCGAGAGGCATCGTATGAGGCGAGCCCCAAGGAATGCCAGGAGGAGGCGCAACAGCTCGCAGCTGCGGAGGACGCTGTCCACCCCCCCAGAGAGCATGCGCCTGCATTTCCTGAGACAGTGGCGAGCCACACCCCCGAGGCGGAATCTGGCGACGGAGGCGGAGGCAACCACCAACAAATAGTGACTCTTGCGGCGGTTAGCTGCAACCCCCAATGCGAATGGAAGAGTGAACTCAGCGGCGGTTCGCTGCACCCCCCATGACCATGAGAGAGAGTATTCTGCGGCGGTTAGCTGCACCCCCCTTTTCAACGCAACTTTGGATCAGTGCGTGCGAACACCTAGGGCGGACACTCCGGGGGGCTTCGAGGCCACGAGAGCGCCCACCTCAGGAACACATTGGATCAGGGCCGCATCAGCTTAGGGGGAACCCAGGAGATGACCATGGCCCCTAGCCCTCGGAGTCGGGGCCTGGCCGAGGGGTGTGGCGGTGCTTCTCCTCGCCTCTCCCCTCTCGGGCCTGGCGGGTGCCCCCCGCCCTCGGCCTCGGGGCCTGCCAGACGTGCTATCCGACGTCGGGGTGGTTGCCCCCCCTCCCAGGGCCGCCCGTGTTCTGCGCTTCGTGGTCTGGCTCCCACTCTCTGCGGAGTGTGCTTCGGCCCTGGAGGACCTCGTGGTGCGTGTTGGGTCTCGGGTCTGGGGGGCAGCGCCTATCGGCGGACTGGGCCTGGTTTGCCTACTGGCCCGCGTGTCCTTCACAGCGCAGCTCCCCCAGGCGCCTCGCCCTTTGACACCGCAGGAGGCAGCGCTACCATCAGCGCCGCCCTTCCCCTCACTCCTCCGCTGGCGGTGCGCCCCCGCCTGCGTGCCCCCTCCCCCCCCTCTCTGAGGCCTGCCGCCATGCCGGCACGCGCTGCGCGGTCCACAGTCGCTTGTTCCCCCCTTGCCCTGTGGAGTGGTCACTCGGGTGTTGGGTCGCCACGGAGTGGTTCAGCCATCCGCAGCAAGACAGCACCCAGGCTCCCACCAGCTGCCGGCCAGTGCGCCGCACCAGTTCCGCGACAGCTGCTTGGCTTGCAGACGTCGTCGCGGGCGTTCGGAGTCTGGCGCCCCACAGGCGACTCACTCCACCGGCCTCCCACTGCCCCCACCTCAGCAGGACCCCCCTGGCAGGCTGCGCAGGCGCTTCACCGCCCACGCCTGCGGATCTCTTGGCTTCAGGGATCGGCATCGCAGTTGCGCCTTGGGCACAGCCGCATGGCTCCACCTGGCACTGGGAGGCGGATTGCTGAGGTCTGGGCGCCGTGTGGTTCAGCCTGCTACGCTTGTGCAGCCTTCGGTTTTCCTTCTGATTCGCACACTCTGCCGCTTGTCCACTTCGGTTCACACTGCGGCGCCTATGTTCGTTCGCTTGTGAATTTAGTTCATTTTGTGCTGTGCCTGTGCAACTGCGCTCTTGTTGTGCAGGTGCGAACCGGCTTGCCAACGTGGCGGCGGTGTTCGCTAATTCGCATCGTGCCGCACGCATCGTTCTTTGCCTCTCGCCGCCAGACCTTTGTCGCGCGGCCGCCGACCAAAAAAGTATCCCCACCAGCCCGTCCAGAAATGAGTTCCAGGGGAGTGGAGGTGATGAGGCAAGCGGGGGAGCACGCAGAAGAACAGAGGGCGGGGTAAGCCGCCATATGCCCCAAGAGGGGGGGGATGTAGGAGGAGTCGTCGTCGTCGGAGCAGGAGGAGGAAGAGGAGGAGCAGGAGGAGGAGCAGGAGGAGGAGGGGGAGGAGGAGGAGGAGGAAAACGAGGAGGAGGAGATGAAGGAGGGCGAGGACGTGGAGGACGAGACGGAGGAGAAAGAAAAGGCGGAGGAGGAGGAAGAGATGGATGGGGGAGGAGGGGGGAGGAAAAAAAAGAGGAGGCGGAGGAGGACAATGGCGAGCTTGGGGGCCTCTTGGGCCGTTTTTGGTGCCTCTTGGCGGTCCCGGGGGCCTCTTGCGTATCTCGGGGGGCCTCTTGGGGCCTGGTGGGGGGCTCTTGGGAGCCTCTTGGAGGCCTCTTGGGCGCCTCTTGGGGCCTCTTGGGGCGCTCTTGGGAGATTTCGGGGCGCTCTTGGGGCCATGTTGGAGGAGATCTTTCAAAAAAGGGAGGTCGTATATTAACCATGCCCCTTTAGAGTGTTTCGAATCGCCTCTTGGGCCCCGAAAGATGCCAAAATCCTTCCAAGACCTAGGGAAATCAATGTTTGTTTGCTTTCTCGCCTTTTCGCTCTTGGAGCCGTCTTGGGCCAACTTGGACGCCCCAGCGACCCGCAGGTCCAGGGGAGGGGGTAGGGGGAGGGGTAAACCCTTCCCCGAAGGAAAAAAAGGGGGTTGGAACAGGAAGCTCTCTAGACCACCGACGCCCAGAGGGCTGGTGGGATTCCCGAGCGAGAGCGCCGTTCCTGAGTTCGGGGGCTTTCTTGGCCAGGTGCTCTCGGAGTAAACCGTGAGGACGTATCGAGCAGGAGCCCTTGTCGTCGTGGCTGGGCCTCCGCCAACTTAATTGAATTGCGAGGAAGTCTCGAGCGAGGCGTTCCTGAGTTCGGGGGCGTCTCTGGCCAGGGTGTTTCGGGGTAAATGTGAGGAAGTATCGAGCGGGAGCCGTTGTTGTCGTAGGTGGGCCTCCATGGGCCCACATGTTTGCTAAAGTCAACGCTCGAGCGGGAGCCTCATTTTCAGAGAAAAATTTAGCCGGCGTCGAGGCGAGAGTGCTCGGAACCGTTTCCGGAGATCAGCAATAATCATTTTTTAGAAATGAGTATTCAGCAACAACAGCAACAATCATTTTCAGACTGTTCGCTCTTATTTGTTCGATTGTCATTCAGCGTGCATGTTCTGAACCCTCGATGCCCGCCCTCTTCGTCTTCGATCATACAACTTTTAGTGGGTGTAAATTTCTTCGTGAGTTCTGCGCGATTGGCCAGGAAGTTGCGAGCGAGAGAGTAACTCCTAAGTATATGTAAGGAAATCCCATTGGAAAATGCGACTCTTGAATGGCAAGAGCGCGGCGCCTGAGTAAATTGCAAGGAAGTCTAAGGCGGGAGCGCGATTCTTGAGTAACTTGCGAGGAAGTCTCAAGCAGGAGCGGGGGACCGGCGGGAGCCGTTGTTGTTGTTGTTGTTGTTGTTGTTGTTGTAAACCGGGAGCCAGGGGTGCAGTTTGAGGGGGATGATTTTCGTTGATAAAAAACGGTGCGATCGCCGGGAGGGGCACTTCAACTTAAAAAAATACAATGTGTACAGGAAGGTGGATCAACAACAATCATTTTTCAGTAGTGAGAATGCAACAAGAACAATAATCATTTTAAGACTGTCCGCAATTACTGGCACGCGTGTCTTGCATTCCGTAGACCCCAATCTTCGATACCCGCCCACTTCGTGTTCGATTGCACCCCCTTTCGGGGGGAATCTTTTCCTTGTCGGCCACCGACTGAAGTGCGACGAAGTCTCGAGCGAGAGCGCCGTTCCTGAGCCCTTGTCGCCACGTCCGGGCCTCCACCAACTTGCTTGAATTACGGGAAAGTCTCGAGCGAGAGCGCCGTTCGTGAGTTCGGGGGCCTTCTTGGCCAGGTGCTCTCGGAGTGCACCGTGAAGAAGTATCGAGCAGGAGCCCTTGTCGTCGTGGTTGGGCCTCCGCCAACTTAATTGAATTGCGAGGAAGTCTCGTGCGAGAGCGGCGTTCCTGAGTTCGGGGGCGTCTCTGGCCAGGGTGTCTCGGGGTCAATGTGATGATGTATCGAGCAAGAACCGCTGTTGTCGTAGGTGGGCCTCCATGGGCCCACATTTAGGCTCAAGCCAATGCTTGAGCGGGAGCCTCATTTTCAGAGAAAATGTAACCGGCGTCGAGACGAGAGCGCGCGGAACCGTTTCTGGAGATCAGCCATAATTGTTGTTTGGGAATGAGTAGTCAACAACAACAATTACAACAACAATTACAACAACAACAACAATTACAACAACAACGCAACAAACATAATTCTCATTACGAATTCCCTATTCAGCCAGCCACGCACCCAGGGACAATGAATGACGTTTCGGCTCCCTCACTCTGATATTTGGATTCCCAAGTTCCAATCTATTGTAAGTGCCGTCCTACTTCAATGATCGCGTGGCTTCACCTTTTCCGACCACTGTAGGGGGCGGGCGGACACCCAATCAATTTTCAGAGCCTTTTTACTCCATGCTCCTTCCCACCTCTCCCGACCGATGGGTACAGGGAGACTGGCACCACGGGGTACGCACCGACTCTCCATCGCCCTCTGGGACAGGAGCGCGGCGGCGAGGGTGTCGCCGTGATGCGTCCTCCCCCAGAGCGTTGCCGCTCACACCTCGGCCGCCAGAGGAGGAGGAGGAGGAGGAGGAGGAGGAGGAGGAGGAGGAGGACGGCATCGACCTGGAAGGCCTCCTCCCCCGAGCCGGCCTCCCCCAAAGCGTGGCCGCTCACACCTGCCCCGCCACCCGCGCCAGGCGGCCGGCAGGATGCGCCCTCGCCCGAGGACCGCGCTCGCGCGCGCGCAGGCGGGCGAGGGGGGGTCGCGGCGACCGAGCCTTGCGGAGACCTCTGGAGGCCCGTGCCAAATAGCCTCCGGCTGCCGTCCTCAAGCAGTGGCGAAGCGTCCTGGCGTGCCTACAGGCCCAGCAAGCAGTGTTCTAAGAGCCTTCTTTGGTGTCCACGAAGTTTTCTTAGAAGGCTTCTGGCTGGGACCGTCTTGCTTTAACACATCGGGCTTGTGTTCTAAGAACATGGACTGTTCTTAGAGCATGTTTGGGTTCTAAAAACATTACGTGGTAGGCATATAGGAATGCCGGGACGGTCGGTCCCTGCTCAAGTATAGTGGCCACATGCCTGCTGGCGCGCTGGCAGGCGCCAGATTGGGCACAGATCGCCGGATCCGCACAAGAACATGTCCTGTCAGAGCACCGCCGGCACCGCCCCGCCTGCATCGGCAGGAAGGACTACGCCTGAAAAGCCAGTCAGCACAGTGGGTGCCCGATCCGTACACCCCTCTCCCTTACAAAAACGCGCCGAGGCTCTGTCCTTATTCGGCTTCATACGGTTTGCAACGCATGCTGTGCAGGTGTGCCATCTTGATGTTTTACACATCTTGCCCATGCGGCGTCATGGCGTGGCTTTCAGTCAGCCAGTCAGTCAGCCCCCAATATCCGTCAGGGTTTCACCCCCTGCCGCCGGCCCCCTCTCTCGGAGAATGGGCCATGGAAGAGCGAAGTCATGAGGCTTTGGCTTCGCCGTGAAGCAGTGTCGGGACCTGTTTGTTTGTCGACCCTGACCCTACGGATCTGCGTGAGGGGTGCCGCCGAATTTCATAAATGTGGCAAATCCCGTTTGTTTTTTTGGACCCTAACCCTGCCGATCTGCGTGAGGGGTGCCACCGAATTTCAGAAACATTTGGCAAATCCGATGTGTTTGTGGACCTTGACCCCGCCGATCCGCGTGAAGGGTGCCGCCGAATTTTAGACATGTTGCAAATCCTGTGTGTTTTTGGACCCTGACCCTGCCGATCTGCGTGAGGGGTGCCGCGGGATTTCAGAAAAGTGGCAAATCCGATGTGTTTTAGGACCTTCACCCCGCTGATCTGTATGAGGGGTCCCACCGAATTTCAGAAAAGTGACAAATCCCATGTGTTTTTGCACCCTGACCCTGCCGATCTGCGTGAGGGGTGCCACCGAATTTCAGAAACATTTGGCAAATCCGATGTGTTTTTGGACCCTGACTCCGCCGATCTGCGTGAGGGTTGCCACCGAATTTTTGAAATGTAGCAAATCCCATGTGCTTTTGGACCCTGACCCCGCCGATCTGCGTGAGGGGTGTGAATTGTTACCCACCCCAGCAATTCAGAGCATACGATTTCTCTTTGATAGAAATTCCCATTTGGGGCCTCCCCCCCTCGCGCGGTCCATCAACAAGGAACAGTAAGCAGCAAGAAGTCAACAAGGAACAGTAAGCAGCAAGAAGCAGAACTGTAACAGTGGAAACTGGAAGCTGCAACTGGTACAGGAAACTGTGAATTCCAGGCCTACGCCCTGGTGGCCCCACAAGGGGGCCGGCGGATAGTTGCGCTACTGGGGACATGACATACCCACCTCCTGGGAGACCCAGATGCCATGTCTGCTAAACCGGGTGCGAGTAGGATTACACTTGAAGAGTGCGAGTACATCGGGGTATGAGTTCGAGCGTGAGCCTAGCCATGAGTGGGCCTGCTCTTCAGTGATCTGAGCGCGAATCTGAATATGATTGAGAGACTCGGTGTGCGTGGTCTGAGTGTGATGATTCCAGATGTGGGCGAGTCCGTGTGCGAGACTCGAGGCTCAGACTCAATCTGATTATGATTGAGCGTAGGTAGAGTGAATACGTGTGCGTATGAGTGGTCTGAATGTCGGCTGGTCTCGGTATGAGTGAGTCGCAGAGAGGAGGCGGGAGTGAGGGAAGCGGAGGCATGCCAGTAATAGCAAGGACCCCACACCGAGGATGACAGATAAAGCGTTTATGGCGATTGCGCAGTAGCCTCGTGGTGGACGCCATCCAGCGCAGTAGCCTCGTGGCGGACGCCATCCAGATTAACAGTGGGAGCACATCGATTGAGCGAAGAAGCAATTGTACGGGGGAGTGTGTCCGAGATGGTAGAAGGAAGAACGAATCGATGAAAGTACGATTCTATGTAGGTGGTTCTGGCGAATCGGTTCCATACGAAATTTCCCAGCAGTGGGAGGTTAAGGCACCCTGTGGCAACGCGAGTGCGCTGGGTACCAGAGCCTATTGCTGATAGTGTCTGCATGCCCTCGTAATCGTGCAGCGTGGTTCTGTTCAGGTTTGAGTCGGTCGGGGTTCGTGGGTGTCGAGAGGCGTGATGGCTTCAGTTGGCACGGTTGCCTCCATCAGTTGTATTGTGGACGTCCTTGCGTATCCGCAGCCACTATACATCAGCGAGTATATATCATCTGATATCAGTTGAGTATCCGCGAGAGGACGAGACCATACCCTCGGAGGCATACCCAGTTTGTTTCGTGCCGCATCTAGCTTACATCCTGCGCGTGTTTCTCTTACTGGTGCCATATTGGCAGAGCAGTGACACGATTGCTGATTTCTTCTGACTCGCGTCATGTCAGCTCAACTGGCTTTCGCACATGGCAGTGTGTCATGACGCGTCACGGCTCTCATCTTGTCGTGGGCAGTTGTTGTTCAATTTGCGCATGCCCCTCGTTCAAAAGTGGTGTCCGCGTCCAGCACCTGTCTTTCTCAATGGTAAAGGCTCCGCTTCTGTCTCAGCGATTGTTCTGTAGCGTTGATTGAGCCCGCTGATCGGCCTTGGTTCCTGCACGCACTGGTCAGGCCAGCAACCTCCCTGAGGCTTGTTTTCGCCTGCCTGCCAGCTTGTGTCTCCCACTGTCTGTCTTGCCCTCTGCCGCCTGATGCCTGTTCGTTTCTCTGTGCTTTGAAAGAAAAAGCAACACGCGGTCCTGAGGAAAAGGGGTCCTGGGACCTCTTCATCAGTTTTGGCCTCTCTGGGCCGTTCGCTTTTCCCAGGCCCCAGGACCAAATAATCAACTAACCTGGGATGCATCATTGGTTTCGGGAGAAGACCCAGACCTCTTCCTGCCAGCGGAATTCCCGAGGGGCCGCGATTCCAACTGTCATCGCGGAACTCGGCCAGCCGAGCGGTTGAGTAGCGTTCTGTGTGCGCCCCAGTGTTGTCCGAGCGCCCGCTGCATGCAGGGGGCATATTTTTCTTGGAGGGCGCTCGGTTCTCCTCTGGCTCGCCCTCGGGGCCTCAGCAGAGAAACCCGACCTGGCTGGAGGGAAGAAGCCGGCTTCGCTCATAATTCTGGGCTTCAGGCACAGCAACACCACCATTGCAAACCGCCTGGCTTTTTTTTCTGTGTATGTGTGGGTGTGTGGCCGGCTCCTCGCTGCGTGAGTTTGCCCAGACCGCGCGTTGAATTGCGCTTGATTGGCCATACGCCGCGCCGCCGCCCGCGTGGCCGCGACGTCAACAAGTATGTACGTGTGTGTGTGTAGTTGGATGGCCCTCCCAGATCTGCATAACACTGATGGATGTGTTTGAAACGAAATTGCGCGGCGTTGAGGCGAGAGCCACATGTCGACAACGAATGGCCCACCATCCTTAGTTTTTTGTTGGAAGCTTCAATCTTCGTGATCATAAGACGAGAGAAAGTCTGCGGCGGAAAGCTGAGCCCGCCTTACCGACATGTCCGGCGGTGTGACGAGGACGAGTTATCTAGGTTGCTGGGGCAAGTTCCGCCACCGTTCCAGTGCAGCAGTCTTTGCGGAGACGCCCAGAAGGCTGCAACATGTGACACCCCTCGCCTCTATTTCATGAGGGCCCCTCCATGCGGTCTACCAAGGCCATCTTGGGGCTGTCTTGGCCTCATCTCGTAGTCTTCGGGCCTCCTGGGCCGTCTTGGTGCTCTCTGGGAGGTGCGTCTTGGGCCAAACTTGGACCCTACTTCACCGTCCGTGGAGCTTATGGGGGCTGTCTTTATTGGGACTTCTTGGGCCCATCTTCCGTCTTTGGCCTCTCGTGTGTTGTAATGGGCGCTGCCGCCATCATTGAATGTCTTGGGGCCGCTTGGGGTTGTCCTTGGCCGTCCAGGGGGCTTCTTGAGGCCCTCATGGGGCTCCGTGCCTGTGTGTTCTCTGTGGCGCATCTGAGGCCCCCGAGTAATCATCCTGAACCGTGGGACAGACGACACACAACATCTTGAAACAAGTTGGGACTTCCCAATGGTGTGTTATGATTTGGGCATTCCTCGGAGGCCTCTCGGCATTCTTGTTGGGGGCTCCGTCAGCACCTCTTTGAATCTTCTTGTGAGCTGGTGGGTGCCTCTAGAGGCAACGTTGGGCCATCTGGTCAGCCTTGGTGACCTTGCTGGGCCATGTTGGAAGTCTTCGAGCGCACAAGCGAGTCCCAGGAGAGCCTCGGGCCGCCCAGGGAGCCTCGGGAGGAGAAGGAGGGTCATGCAGGGAAGCGTGGTGCGTGTTGGGGGGGGGGCGCCCCTTTTCTTTTTGAAGCAGCACTATCAGACAGCACTTGCCATTGGTCCACGCCTGGACGTGCCACGGGGCATGATGGTATAGTTGTAAAGGAAGAGGGTTGTCGGAGGACGAGAACGAGGATGAGGCAGAGGGGTCCTCACTGGTGCCCTGGGGAGGACGGGTAGCTGGAGGAGGCGGAAGATAGCAACGCTTGCCTGACGTCGATGCGCATCGCCAACGACGAAGCCGACGATCATCGACGACGACGACGACGACGACGACGACGGACGTTCGGATGCAACTCCTGGGAGGTCAAATTCTGTTTTCGCCCTGGTCCGAAATCCGGCTTAATCCAGCTTAATCCCGCTTTCCGGCTGAAGCCCGTTTAATCCCGCTTAGTCCGGCTTAATCCTGCTTGGTCCGAGGCCCTTTCCGGCGTAATAGTTCCCAAATGGGGTTTAATCCTCCCAGTAGTTGCCGCTTCCGAAAGGACGACGGACGACGGACGAAGGGCGACGGACGACGGACGCCGACGACGGACGACGGGCGACGGACGACGGCCAGCGGAGACGACGGCGGCGGGGCCGCGCAGCGGCGGCGACGCCGCGACGGGCGGCGGCGGCGGCGAGCAGGGGCGCCCCTCTGCGGCGAGCGGGGGGCGGCCGGCGGGGCGACTTCCTGCGGCAGCGGCGCGGCAGATGGCGCCGCCGCGGGCGGCGGCCGAGCGCCGTCCGCGGGCGAGTGCTCCACGCCTCCCGCGGAGGAGCGGCGGCGAGGAGTCGACGCAGCTCTCGTAGCAGACAGGGTTCAGGCATCCCGGCACTTGAGACGATAGGACTCCTGATCGTTTCCTGTCGAGTGGTCTGCTTATTTCGCCTCCGAGAAAGGCCTGTGGCTCGAGTTATCTCCCCCAAAACCGTGAGGAGAACCAACCATAGCAAAAATAGCAAATCCCGGCGGCGGCGGTCGAGCGGTCGGGCGGCGGCGGCGTGCGCGCGCCCCGCCGCGGCGCAGCAGGCGCGGGGCGCGGCGCCGCGAGAGCCGGGGGCCTCCCAGGCGTGCGGGGGCGCCCCCCTCCGCGGGTCGCGCGCGCGCGGAGTCCTCGCGCCCGCGGCGGCTGCCGGGCTTCGGTGGAGCGGAGGGTTTCTCTCCGAAGGGCTTAGGCGACTCGTCCTCCTCTACCTCCTCCTCCTCCTCCTCCTCCTCCTCCTCCTCCTCCTCCTCCTCCTCCCCCTCCTCCTCCTCCTCCTCCTCCTCCTCCTCCTCGGGTCGCCTAATTACGGCCCCAGGGAAACCGTGCACGGTGGAGCCCTTGGTCCAGCAGTAGCGAGGCGTCTTGGCTGGCCTATTTGAAGAATGTTCCAAGAACTTTCCTGTGAACGGGATATCCTTGGAGCATCATTGGTTGAGACCGCCCTGTTCGAGCGCATGTGGTTTCTGTTCTGAGAACATTGTGTGTGTGTGCTCAGGACGTCCTTTAGTTCTAGGCAAACTTCGCGGTGGGCCTATGGGGATGCAGGGGCGGTCGGTCCCTGCTCCATTCGGAGGGTCGGGGTCCTCGGAGGCCGTCGGAGCGTCGGAGGGGTGGGGCCCTCGGAGGCCCCGCTGGAGGCCTTCGGGTGGCATTCGGAGGGCCCTAAACTCGGAGGCCCTCCGGGAGCCCTTCGCGAGGCCACTTCAGAGGCCGCCTCGGAGGCCTCCGGGGAGCTCGGCGCTCACTTCCGGCAGGTTCGCACCGCCTCAAGGCGGCGGCGACGCCTCAGAGTGAGGTTGTGGGCCGGCTGTGAGGAAGGGGCTTCGGGGGGCACATCGCGGCCATGGCCGTGCGAATCTCGGCTCGAAGAAGTGGTCGGGATCGTGGGCGGTACGGGACCCGGGGTAGAATTTCAAGCGAATTGTGTATTCTCCGTCATCGGGGGGACCCTCGTGGTCCCGGTCGGACGGCAGGTGCGGGAAGTGGTAGATGGAGGTGCGAAGGGGTGGGAGGAGGAGAGGGGGAAGGCAAGCCAGGTGCGTTCGGGCCACATCTGACGTCCTATCCCTCGCTCTCATCTTTTCCCATTGCGCTGACTTGTTCTCTATCCGCGGACGCGTGTCATAGCCGACCAGGAACTCCAATAGGAGTACCCTCTATCGTGTCGTGTTTAGTCGGAAGTGGAGCTGCGTGCATAGGAGGAGGAGGAGGAGGAGGAGGAGGAGGAGGAGGAGGAGGAGGAGGAGGAGGAGGAGGAGGAGGAGGTGGCGGGTGAGCATGAGGGTGAGCAGGAGGAAAAGAAGGAGGACGTGGAAGGAGGAGGACGAGGACGAACGTCAGCAGCATTAATTCGGAGCGGAAGGAGCCGGATGAACAGGAGGACCAGGGGAAGGCGGAGAAGGGGAAATGAGGTGGGCGGCAACTATGAAAAAGAGTTCGGATCCGGAAGAGTGGCCCAAGCTGGGGCGACAGCGCCATTCCGAACGACGGGAGCAGAGCGCCGATTCGAAAATGCGGCCCACGCTGCAGGGGAGCACCACTTCGAAACACCGAAGACAGTAGGATTGCAGAGGCAGACACGAGAAACATAAGCTTTCCTAATCTTGTGTGCTACAGTGATCGGGACGTCTTCTGGACAGAGTCAAGCGATGAATGAGAACAATATTCATAATGTGTAATTGTTTACGCTTCGCGAGTCCCCACCAGCCCATCCAACAGCAGCCGCTCGAAACAGGTGCGCTGACCGTCGGGTGTTTTCTCTTCCTTCTCCCTCTCTTTGGCTTCTTTCTTCCATCCTCCTCTCCTTCTCCTCGTCCTCGTTGCTCCTTCTCTTCGTCCTCCTCCTCCTCCTCCTCCTCCTCCTGGCGTTGCCGTGCGATCTTGGGGCTCTCTTGGGATCTCAGGGAATCGTGGCCCTGGGGCTCTCTTGGGGCTCTCTTGGGGCTCCTTTGGGAGTCTTGAAACCCTCTCGGGGCTCTTTGTGGGTGTTTCGGAGGTCTCTTGGGGCCATCTTGGAGGTCATCGGGCAAAGAAGGAGAGAGCATTTATTGGTGTACCCCCGTCGGGGCCCGAAATATCGCCTCTTGGAGCCCTCTTGGGCCGCTCTTGGGCGCCTGTTGGGCGCTCTTGTGGCCGTCTTGGGGCCCTCTTGGGCCGTATTGGCCGCCTCTTGGGCCGTCTTGGGGCCCTCTTGGGCTGTTTTGGAGCCGTCTTGGGAGCCTCTTGGGCCGTCTTGGGGCGGTCTTGCGGGCCTTTTGGGCTGCCTTGGAGCGTCGGGAAGTCGAAAGGGCAGGAACGCTAAAATGTTTGAAATACTTAAGGAACACATATGATGTTGGCCTCGTGGGGCCCTCTTAGGGCGCTTCTCGGGGCTCTCTTGGAGCGTTTTGGGGGCCTCTTGGGCCGTCTTGGCATCTCGGGGGCGTCCTTGGGAGGTTCCGCGGCCACTTAGAGCCGTCTTGGGGCGGTCTTGGAGCCTCTTGGGGCTCTCTTGGGCCGCTCTTGGGCGCCTCTTGGGCACTCTTGGGGCCGTCTTGGGGCCCTCTTGGGCCGTATTGGCCGCTGCTGGGGCCGTCTTGGGGCCCTCTTGGGCCGTCTTGGAGCCGTCTTGGGAGCCTATTGGGCCGTCTTGGGGCGGTCTTGCATGCCTTTTGGGCTGTCTTGGAGCGTGGGGAAGCCGAAAGGGCGGGAACGCTAAAATGTTTGAAACGCCCGCGGAAAATCAATGGTTCTGGCTTCTTGGAGCCCTCTTACGGCGCCTCTCGGGGCTCTCTTGGAGCGTTTTGGGGACCTCTTGGGCCGTCTTAGCTTCTCGGGGGCGTCCTCGGGAGGCTCCGCGGCCACTTGGAGCCGTGTTGTGGCAGTATTGGAGCCGCTTGGGGCTCTCTTGGGCCGCTCTTGGGCGCCACTTGGGCGCTCTTGGGGCTGTCTTGGGGCCCTTTTGGGCCGTACTGGCCGCCGCTTGGGCCGTCTTGGGGCCGTCTTGGAGCCGTCTTGGGAGCGCTCTTGGGGGCCTTGGGAGCTGCGTGGCGTCTAAGTGGCGCTGGTCGGCTCCGTTCGTTTGCTCCCCACTTGTGGAGCTCACACGCCTGACGTTCCGGAGCGTCTCGCGGACCAACTGCACGTGGTGGTGCCAGCGCAGGTGGTGGGCGGAGCGGCTGACCCTGCACCTGGTCTTCGGGACCTCTTTGCAGGCCCTTCAGGGCGGCGGTCGACTACCCCGCTTCGCCCCTGTGGCTCTCCTCCGTGGGTCACCATGCCGCCTCCTTCGGGCTTCGCCTGGCGTGCAGCGCGCCGCGGTCCCGCCTGCCCTGGCCGCTGTCTTGGGGTATCAGGGCCTGGCGGGCGCTTTCGACGCTTCCGGCGAGCCTGGCCAACACGCCCTCCGGGTCGTGGCCCGGCCCCTCCTCCTGCGTCCCCGCCGAGGCCTTCCGCTGAGGAACGACGGAGAGGGCATCGAGCACATTGATGTGCAGGCCTCGAGCGCCCCCCCGTGGCGGGACTGGCGCCAGAGCTTGGACCCCCGCGCGCGATCGCTGCTCAGCATCTAGCGCGGGGGGGCCACTCGGACTCCCACCCGGCGGTGGCGCGCGAAGCACGCCCAGGCTTGTATGTGGTGCCCGGAACTCCATTGTTCCGCGCGGCCTTTGTGGGCGTTTTGCCCGCGCTTCGCCGAGGCCCGCGCCCGCCTCAGCGCCGAGTTCCAGATCCCGCCAGAGTGGCGGGCCGCTCAGCCGCGAGTAACGGCGAAGTCCGGCTGGATTACCTGCTCGGCGGGGCCCTCGACCCAGCGACGCGCCCAGCTGCAAGTCGCAGCGTGCCGCCTGGGCCTTGAGATCCTCCAGGGTCTCCCGCTGCCAACTGAGGTCGTGTGCGCCGGTGCTTCGCAGGCGGCGGCGGCGGCGGCGGTGGCGGCGTGGGGGCGCCCTCCCGGCGGCCTCGGCGGCCCAGGCGACGACCCGCGCAACGGCGACCCCGGCCCCGACGACGACGCCATTGACGCCGGCACCGACGACGTCGACGACGACTCCCTCCCCGTCGACGGCGGCCCTGGTCGCGACGACGGCGGCCCCTTCGACGACCGTGTTCTGGGTGGCGCGGCGGCGGCTGGGGCCCGCGAGACGAGGTGGCGGCGACCGAAGCGTCGACGGCATGATCACCTCGACGACCCCCCTCCGCCCCCCGCCGAGACCCCCCCTCGCGGTGGTGTCGTCGGTGGTGTTGGTGGTCGCGTCTGCGCGAGTCCGGCTGGCGAGGAGAGCCCTCCTCTCCCCGCCCCCCCTCTCGCTCCGCCGCCGCGCCGGGCGGCGGACCCTGCGACGTGCCGTCGCGAACTGCAGCGCTGAAACACGTTTATATTATATTTGTGCGTAATTGACAGACGTCGGCGGACCGCGTGGCCGCGCGCGAGGCCGGCGCCGCCGTTCAAGGCGGCGGCGCGCTCGACTTGTTAACGTATTTGAGCAGTTTGGACATGGGCATCCAGCTGCTTTTCAGCCAGCGCGGGGCCTTGGGGGCGCTCTTGGGGCCATCTTAGAGGAGATCGGTCAAAGACGACGAAAGCATGCATCCCCCCCCCCCCCCCGGTGTCAAAAAATGAGCCCCCCACGGGGCCGACAAAGGACGCCCCGGCGACCCGCGGCCCCCCCTCTCCAGGCCCAGGGGGAGGGGGCAGGGGGAGGGGTAAACCCCTCCCCGAAGAGGAAGAAGGGGGTTGAGAACAGAGAGGACTATCTTAACCACTCACGCCCTAAAGGGCTGGTGGGATTATGGACCTCCCCCGCCCCTTCCCTCCTCCTCTTCTTGAAAAACATGGCGAGCGCCTTCCGGGGCTCGGACTGAGGGGAGGTTGACGAAACGGTCCGCTCGCGCGCTGCAGAGCGCGACGAAGAGATACGCAGGCAGAGGTACCGCAACGCAGTCATTAGCCTGGAGGCGGAGGAGGGGCCATTACTCGTCAAACTTGGGGAGGGCAACGCCATGGGGGACCCCTTTGCAGTTCATGCATTTGCAGGCACGCTCTCGCGCCCCATCCTCGGTTGGCAGTATGAACAGCAGACGGCAGATCCCCGAGCCCGTCTTCTTCGATCAAGCTAGGGCCTTCTCAGGTCCGATTTATCTTTGTCCAAGTACGCCGGCGACATCAATGAGACAATTATCGCGAACCCAGAGATGTCTTTTGCAGAATTCATTACGAAGCCCAAAGTTACAGATCAGAGCCTCAACAATGCTTCGCAGCCTTTCGGGCGCGGACAGGATTCCACCGCGCAGGAAATGTTAATGCACTTTTCGCGCAATGGTTACACATGGAAGCAACTTATACGTGATATGGCTAGATAGGACACAGGCGCATCTACAGCCCCCAAGCTGGACGGTCGAGTCAAGGATGACGCGCGTTACCTCAGACCTTACCTGTCGATGGGCTAATCCGACCGTGGCGAAGTCTATCGGCGTTGCTCGGCCGCGAGGGGGGGATTTGCATCGGTAGGAGGAGCCAGGGGATTGGGTGTCCCGTGGCGTTGGAAGCGCAGTTGATCCATCGACTTCGTCCAAAACTCGCTCTCAAACTGCCTCGAGAGCCCCGCCCCGTCCCAGGCTGACACAGACATTCTCGATAGTTGTCTAGCTAGACTGGGCCGAGCCGCTTTGGGGGAGTTGCGGACTTTGACGGGCCACGCGTAAAGACACGCAGCAACAAACAGGTATTGGGCCGACTAAGATTGGCCCCTTCAGCCACTGAGATGCCGTTGCGCAGGGCCAAACTCTACCAGAGCTGGGGTCGTCATCCCGAGGAACATAGCCAGGTACTTTGTGCGCTCTTCGGAACGACTGAACTGGATCGGCATAGACTTCAGTTAATATGGGGTAGGCCAACAAAGTGGGCATCGCCGCGGACCCGACAGGTGGCAGCAGACTTAGACACAGTCAGCCATCGCATATTTTACGAGGGTATTCGTCGTGTTTCGGAGGATTTGCGCTTATGGCTCGATAGGGATGCAGCGGAGCAGTTCGTGATTATCGACATCGGTGAGGTTAGGCAAACGTGTTGTTCGTTTCATATTACACTTCCTGGGTTAAACGCCCCAGGCAACGAACGGTTCCCGTCCCAACAGGCTGATGTTGATATGCCATTCGTGTGCGGGTTGGGTAAGGAAGGAGTACCGTGTGGCTGTGCCTTCTCCACACGTAAGGGCCTTCTTAACCACCTTCGGCATCGTCATTATCTTCGGAGTCTTATGCATATGTTGACCCCATATTAACATCTGCATAAACTGCCAGCAGGTTTTTCCACGAAGATTACGGCCTCTCGTTGCCTAGTTAGTACTCTACGTCGTGGACATTGTATTACTCGAGGGTCTCGCTCACTGGCCCCGCTGGCGCAACCCTCCTCGATTTGCTGCCCGATCTGCGAATGCGAAGGAGCTGGCGCAGCATCTCTCTGTCGCCATTTAGTCGTTCTACCTTGCCAGCCTTGCTCACCGACTGAACCCCGTCGGCATGGAAGCGGGGCCGATTGCCGCACCGCCGTCCTGGTTCAAGGGCTTGACGGAGGGTGCGGCTTCGGACGCTGCCGCACCTGCTGCCCCCAGAGACAAAATGGCCAGGGGCGTGGACGGGGGCCAGGGCGCGGGCAAGGGCAAGATGATGAACACCGTGGCCCGCATGGCGCTCAGCAGCTCGCGGGAGATCGCGGAGTTGAACGCCGCGACCTTCGCGAAGTACGAGGTGGGGGCGGGCCGGGGGCTCGTGGCAGCGGGCTTCACAGCAGGCAAGGCTTACGACGAGATGTCCACGGCGCTGCGCGCCAAGTCGCAGAAAGGGCGAGACGGTCAACCACAGGGATCGCGGCCCTCCGCGCCTCCCGGTGCCCCTGGCAGTCTGCCGCTGCGGAGCCACGAAGACGATCCCTGAGTGCGACGCCGGCGTCAAGAAGAGAGAGCCCGAGGACCTGAGGAAGCACATGAAGGAGATGCGGGAGGAGCACCTGCGCGCGGTCAGCCAGGCCGACCTGATACGCGCCGCGCCCATTTTCCGCATCCGCCCCCACACGAAGACAGAGTCCGAGCGCCAGAAGGTGACGGTCATGATGAAGTTCGACGGGGGGGGGCCGCTGGGGGCCCAGGTGAGCCCCCTGCTCGAGAAGCTCATCCAGTCGGAGGGCGGGGCCCCGCTCCTGGGAGCAGCTCTGCGGGGCCCGTTGCAGCGGGAGTTGTTGAGGTGCATGGAAGCATGAGTAGGGGAGGTAGCCAGCACCTGCAGCAGAGTGAGCGATTAGCAGCATTATTCAGACAGGGTCTGCTCCCGCCAAATGTCTTGAGGAGTAGTGAGAGGCAGTTCTCGTGGCAGGCTAGTGAGGTCAGACCCGAGGTTCCTGCGTTTGAGTCGCCACGTTCCCGCGGCAGAGGAGGTAGATGCCGTGGGGGGAAGAGAAGGCCCGAGGTGAGTGATGTCACTTAGCTCGCGCCTCCGCGTCGGGCCCCGTCGGGGGTTGCGCGCCTCAAAGGGGCCCCGATCGGCCAGTGTTGTGCTGTGCAGTGCGCGGCAGCCGCTGCGCAGTTAAGTTGAAGTATTCAGTATTTCAGGGCCCGCCCTCAGAGTACAGCTGTCTGTTGCACGGCGAGAGTGTAGTAGCACATGGCAGCAGGGACTCCATGAGCTGGTCTTGGTCTTGGTCTCCTCCTCCGCCTCCCCCTCCTCCCCCTCGCTTCCCTCCTCCTCCTCCTCCTCCTCCTCTTCTTTCTCCTCCTCCTCCTCCTCCTCCTCTTCCTCCTCCTCCTTCTCCTCCTCCCCCTCCTCCCCCTCCACCCCCTCCCTGCCCTCCTCCTCCTCCTCCCTCCTCCTCCTCCTCCTCCTCCTCCCTCCTCCTCCTCCTCTTCCTCCTCCTCCGCCTCCTCCCCCTCCTCCTCCCCCTCGTTTCCCTGATCCTCCCCTTCCTCCTCCCCATCTTCCCCCTCCTCGCCCCCCCTTTCCCTCGTCCTCCTCCTCCTCTTAGTCCTCCTCCTCCTCCTTCTCCTCCTTCTCCTCCTCCTCCTCTTCCTCCTCCTCTTCCTCCTCCTCTCCTCGTCCTCCTCCTCCCTCCCGTCCTCCTCCTCCCTCCCGTCCTCCTCCTTCCCTCCTCCTCTTCCTCCTCCTCCTCCTCCTCCTATTAAACCTCCTCCTCCTTCCTCCTCCTCCTCCTCCTCCTCCTCCTCCCTCCTCTCCTCCTCCTCCCCTCCTCCTCCTCCTCCTCCCTCCCCCCTCCTCCTCCCCTCCCCCTCCTCCCCCTCCCCCCCTCCCTTCCCTCCTCCCCCCTCCTCCTCCTCCTCCTCCTCCTCCTCCTCCTCCCCTCCTCGTCCTCCTCCGCCTCCTCCTCCTCCTCTCCTCCTCATCCTCCTCCTCCTCCTCCTCCTCCGCCTCCCCCCCCCCTCTCTCCCCCCCCCCCGTTCCCCCCCCATTCCCTCCATTCCCTCCTCCCCCTTTTCCCCCCCTCCTCCTCCTCCTCCTCCTCCTCCTCCTCCTCCTCCTCCTCCTCCTCCTCCCTCCTCCTCCTCCTCCTCCTCCTCCTCCTCCTCCTCCTCCTCCTCCTCCTCCTGCTCCTCCTCCTCTTCCTCCTCGGTCGGTCGGTCGGTCGGCCATAAGGGAATGAGTCTGAATCCCAATCGAAGCTAGATGAGAGCAGCGATAGCAGAGAGAAAAGCGGCGAGGCAGCGATCGCGGCAGCGGGCAAGCCTCTCGGGTGAAACTACATCCCCCCCAGTTAAGTCCAAAGCTCGATCCCACCTCCTTATCAAGGCCACTTTAAATGCCCTGGTCCTGACGTGGGCGAGAAGAACATCCCAGGCGTACAGCAACTTAGTGAGTAACACCAATGGGGGAGGGCGCCACCAACGTAACGTCTGGGACGGGCTGGCCATTCATCAGGTTACTGACCCCCAGCCTGAGGATCGAAAAAGATGCCTTCACCTGACTACTGCGAGTTATAGTGCCGCGCACACCTCCAGCTTAAACAGACAACCCTGGTCAGCGAGTTAAGGTGCCGCGCACACCCCAGGTGTCAAAAACAGTCAAGCACAAACTTTCCCCGAGGGTACTGCGAGAGTTAACGGTGCCGCGCACACCTTGTACTTGTCAAGAGGGGGATGGTGGTGTCACTTGGGCGAAATCACGACCACGCCTGAAATCAAAGAAAGGGTCCAGGGGCACAAAGAAGGGCTCAAACTCCTCCCCGAGGTCCCAAGGCGGCGGTCCAGGATCGGGCCCGAACTGGGCCTGGATAGCAACGAAAATACTCTTGGCCAGTAAACAACACATTTCCGAGGGATAGGTTTTGGCCCGCGCAGTATGCCACGCCCCTGAAGCATCTCGGCCCTGAAGGACCTGGGCGTGGGCACGATGTTGGCATCTCCCATGGTGCGGCAACTCGTTAATCAACTGATTTAGCATGGGGATATGAACACCCAGCAAGGACGTTGGT